GAATTCAGATGAACGTAAACGAATACAGTAGAACCCTTGAAAGTGTTCAAAGACGGCCAACCAAGCTAGTACGAGGCCAAGGGTACCTACCTTACGGCAGACGCTTGCCCAATCTTAAACTGTTTCCCCTGGATCACAGACAGCTACGGGGTGGCTTTAGACAGGCATTTCGCATGCTGCAGCGTCAGAATTGAGGCCTTGCATCCAACGATTTCTTTGCGTTGCGAGGACACCATCTAAAATTACGTGAGACAAGACCGGACCCAAGGAAATTACTTTTTCTCTAAGAGAGTAATTCAGGCATGGAATGCTTAGCCTGCAGATATTGTCATGACCCAGCCCGTGGACACTGTGGGAGGCTGTACGTGGCACATATGGGGCGGGGCCGGTGTTTGGGTAATAAAAACCAGTTGCATAGGCCTCAGTATATTGACCTCGGTTGTAATACTGGTGAGCCACCTTTGCACTCTGCTGAAACCGTTGCCTCTTTCTAGTCGAGCAACTTTGTAAACTCTACCAACGATCAACACGTGAACGCGTTATGTACAGTGCGAAATAATTATAGAATTACCACCTAGAAACAGTGATCTGGCTGCAGATGAAACGACGTAGTCTCTGGACGATCTAATAGAGTGACATTAAATCGAAAAAATCAAGCTAAAGCAGTTTGTTGACGAATATTTAAAGTGGTATGGGAAATTTCCAGTACATTTTTTTGGATTACTCAATCCTCCGAAAGCACCTACGGATCCGATGCGATATCTCCATCGCCACGTAGATCCGTGTGTACCACGCACCCGTCCGGTCAGTCCTCCTCTATGGATGTGAATGCTGGGATTTGCGCGTTACAGATGAGCTAAGATTAGAGGTATTTAGCCACCGCTGCCCGAGGATCATCCTTCGAGTGAAGTATACAGACTTTATCTCAATTGAGGCAGTCCGCACTCGCTGCGGCAGTATCGCAAGAATATCTCAGGTCATTCACGAAAGACGATTGAGGAGGTTTGCGCTCGTTATCCATCGTCCGCCTAACGAACTTTGTTATGCTACCCTCGATTCGGCGCCGCAGCCCACTTGGAGGCGTTGAGGAGGTGGACAACTCAAGGCTTGGCTCGACACAGTTCGTCAAGACACGGAAGCTGCTCTTGGACCTTCGATTTTTTTGTTTCCGTTGCTGGAGAAGAGAATAGGCGGAGCTTTGCAACGCAATTGCCGTCGATCTTCAAGTGTAGA